AGGCCAATTTCCAGCTTTCAGCGCTGTCACATTTTGAATGACAATTGCGCGGTCATACAACACTGTACCCATATGGAATTTTTATCATTTTTTTGAGACAGATAGAGCTTTCTTTTGGTGGTATTTAATCACCTCTGAAATTTTTATTTTTTCTTAAACAAACCAAAAACCACTGAAAATTTTGAAAAAAAAAAAATTTTTTTTTAGCTTTTGTTATACAATTTTGTAAATAAGTGATTTTTATCCTTCACTGATGTGCGTTAATGAGGCTGCAGTGATGGGCACTGATAGGCTGCACTGATGGACACTGATAGGTGGCACTGATGGGCACTGATGAGGCACTGGTAGGTTGCACTGATGGGCATTGACAGACATCACTGATGGGCACTGAAAGGCAGCACTGATACATGACACTGATATATGGCACTGATAGGCGGCACTGATAGGCAGCACTGACTGGCACTGATAGGCGGCACCGACTAGCACTGATAGGTGGCACTGATGCGCACTGATAGGCAACACTGACTGGCACTTATAGGTGGCACTAATTGGCAGCACTGATAGGTGGAACTGATTGGCATTGATAGGTGGCACTGACTGGCACTGATGGGTGACATTAAAAGGCAGCTCAGATGGGCACTGTTATGTGGCATTGATGTGCACTGGTATGCACTGATATGTGGCATTGATGTGGCACTGATGGGCACTGGCACGTGGCACTGATGAGCACTGACTGCTGGCACTGATGGACACTGACAGGCACTTCTGGGACCGTCCCGACATCACGTCCATTAGGCCATGACCAACGCGTTTTGTCACTTGACGTTGGACGTGGCCTAGTGGACATGACGTCGGGGCGGTCCTCCCAGCTGTCGGCTGTGAGATCGCAGTGTAGGAGGTTCACCCTTGGTTTTCTCCCTCGTGGATGTGTTATTATAGAGGCTGTCATTAATGGTGTCGGCTAGACACCTTCCTTGTGAGTGTTATACTTTACTTATAAAATTTTACTGGTTTTAAACGTACTGCACCATCATATCTCTTCTGATTCCTCGAGCTTTGCCCATGTTATTGGAAGACGGTTTGCTGCTTAGCTGTTCCATGTGTGCTGATTGGATCACCATTGGTTGCTGTTCCTCTCCTGGGATATCCTGCAGATCCTCGCTCCCAGAGCAAAATGCTATCATGCTGGTTTATAATATAATCAGCATATAGCTCTGGTGAGTGTATTCATTTCATCTGGTGTCGGCTTTGCACACGGGTGTTTGTTTCAAGATTGACATTAAATTGATATTGGATTATCACTGTTTATGATGGTTGGACTTATGTTTATATTTATGGATTTTATTTGTTATTTCTACTATTTATCCTTGTATTTTTTGTGAATAATTGGCGCCCTCTTTATTTATACACATAGAGTTCTGAAAGGTGAGTTGGTAATTGAATTCCTAAGTAGGTGATGGCCTCAGGCTGCCATGCGAAAGGGAAGTTTGTTTTCGCCTGTCTGACCATATCTTGGGTTAGGGAGACATTGAGGGCTTGGGATTTATTGAAGATAATTTTAACCACCTTCCGCCCGCCATATAGTACAATGACAATGGATTATCACTGTTTATGATGGTTGGACTTATGTTTATATTTATGGATTTTATTGGTTATTTCAACTATTTATCCTTGCATTTATTGTGAATAATTAGCGCACTCTTTATTTATACACAATTTCCCCTTTTTAGGTTAGAGGTGCTGCTTATTATTTTATTTATCTTGTTATTTTCTGTGGCGCTTCTTATATTTGTTACATTGTTTCAGAACTCTATGCCAAGAACTTTTTACCCATCCTACATAGTATCACCAAAGATCTGCAGACATGGGACAAACCATTTTTCTCTTGGTTTGGCAGAGCAGCGATCCTCAAGATGAATGTGCTTCCTAGACTACTATACTTAATGCAAACAATTCCAATCAAACTGCCCAATTCCTTCTTTAAGTCATATAAAACATTATGTACCTCGTTTCTATGGAGTAACAAACGCCCCAGAATCAGTTTTGAACAACTTACCATGCCTAGGACGAGCGGAGGTATTGGACTGCCTGATATCACCCGTTATTATAGAGCCTGTCACATGGCAAGAATAGTAGATTGGTCTACAAACCTCAACCGTAAGGCTTGGGTTACCTTGGAAGCTGCATTCTCGGGGACCCCACTCGCCACTTTCTCTTGGCTGAAAAACTCCCACATTCCGTCTGAGTTCAGGGAACACCTTCTTATAGGCCCCACTCTATCGTGTTATCATCAGTTAAGTCAGAAAACAGGTTTCTCTTCTACCCCTGGCCGACTCACACCTATTAAAATGAACCCAGACTTTCCCCCTGATATGTCTCGTGCCTTCCTCGCCGGGTCTAACCGCACAGATAGCTTGAAGTTGCATCAACTTTTCAAAGATGAGTCGCTCTTACCCAGAGACCTCCTTCTAATCAAATGGCCATCCTTAACCCTGACACCGTGGATGTACAGACAGCTCCACCACTTTATTCAATCAATGTATACCCTTATCCTTTTCAAACCCTCAAAAAGTCAATACTTTCTCCCTAGAAAGTGCAATAATACATATACAACCTTTTTGTGAATTATACAAAATAAAATAAATAAATAAATAAATTGATTTTAAACATATAATATGCAACAAAGTCCCACTAATCCAAAAAAATTGTCCAAAAAGAAAGTCCAAAATAGTGTCCACAAATATCCCAAATGTATTCACTCTTTTCATCCACTGAAAGGATTGGCTCCTACTTCATCCAAAACGCACCTCGAAGTAAAAATATAATAATATCTAGTGCATTACCTTAATGATAATAATAATAACAATAATCACCCCGTGCAACCAAAATACACTTCAAAAAACCTTTTATGCAAAGAGAAAAAAAATATATATATATTTTCTTATAGTGCATATAATCACACTAATCAAACTGTGAGCACTGCAATTCAGTGTCTGCCAACAACCAACACACAGTAATACTAAATACTATTACCATCTCTATGAGTATTTGAAATGCTCAAACAATACTATGGAAAAGTATTCCTCCACATTATCTTCCAAAAAGTTTTTCCAAGGTCCTCAGAGAGATAAGAAGGGTCTCAGGAATAGTATTCAAAGCATAGGGATAACTTTTTATTAATCACTTACATTAAAATTTGAAAATATCAGCTCCAGACATGGTTTCAAGCTTTTCCACCAAACACCATAAAAAAAATGTGTTGAAAACCAACAAAATGGCTGCGGCGACACTTTGGAGCCATTTCAAAACCACCACTACCTATCTCCTCTTAGTTCATGCACAGCCTATACCCCCTGACTGAATGATTAGACACTATGCTGTTTTAGGGAATGCCCTGTCCACCGAAGACGCATTTGGTGTATATTTGGTTTGGTTGTGACTTGGCATTGTGGCCTACATTTCAGATTCTTGACCTACGTGTTACCCCTTTGACTGACCCTGCATGTATTGCATCCTAAACTATAAGACTATTTTTTTGGGCTCGTACCAAATGATGTGAATGATTTTATCCACAATTGTCCACCTTAACATCCCCTTACTCTCTACCCATTCCCCCCACCCCCCCCCCCCTTTTTTTTTTCCTTTTTTCGACACTCATTCCCCCTTCTCCCCCCCCCCACTACCTCACTCTACATTTCCATCTCTTTCTCTAGCTATTCTCCTTTCTGACTTTTCTTTATCTCAAGCTTTTTTATCCGCCTTCATTATTCATATATTGCCAACAAACATGGCATTTCGTCTCGCATACAGGTGTTCCTGATTTCACATGGCTTACACGCTCCCGAAATGGACACACAAATTCTGCCATATAAATCATCCTGTGCTAGCATTACCCGACACTTAACATTCGCTCAACATAAGGGCTCACCAGTACATAGGTCAGTAATAATTTTACCTATTTCAATTTATATACTATACACTTTGTATATACTGGTTTGCCATATACATTTGCAAAGGATATACTTCAACCAGATGTGTACTTTTGTTTAAACCCATGGCCTGTCTGCGAAACGGGATGCTACAAGATGTGTCTATGTTCGGACTGTGATCTGTATTTGTATGTACATTGCTATACCTGTCAGGAATGGACTCGCCAATGGTGGTGGGACTCACATGCCTTGTGGGCTGTAGTACCAAGGCTGGCCAGCGGGTGCTCTCAGCAGCCAGAATCTCACTCCTACAATCAGGCCATCACCTGAGGCTGATTGCAGGAGGTGTATTTAAGCAGATTCAGGCCTGTGATCAGTGCCTTGGTGTATGTTTCCCATGAGCCCCTGTACCTGCATCCTGTCTGATCCTGCTTTGATCCTGCTTTGATCCTGACTCTGAACCTGACTCTGAACGAACTCCGCCTGTCCTGACCTCGGCTATTCCTGACCACTCTTCCGCTCGCTCCTGGTACCCTGTTTGCCCGTTAGCTACCAACCCGGCCCCCCTGACTATGTTGTGCTCCATATATATATACATATATATTCTGTATATCAGTTTAGGTTTGGGTTTGTTTCACCTTGTTGTATGTATTTGTGTTAGTTTTGGGTTTGGTTTGTTGCACTGCGTTTATGTTTGTGTTGTCCTTAATAAATTATCTTGTTTACACGCTATACCTGAAGTCTGTGTTTCCCTGTGTCAGTCCACACACCTCTGGTCATTCCCGGAGCCCTGACAATACCTTACTTTTTCTAATAAAAATATTTTTGGAAAAAATCCCAAAAAAATGCAAACGTGGAAAAATGCAGGAAAACACCACTAAATTTGGCAAAACGCCTCTAAACGCTAATGCAAAAATGCTAAAAATCGCTGTAAAACACTGAAAAACTCACGTTTTTAATGTGACTTTACACAGCTAACATTACCAGCGTTATCAAAATGTCAAGTGTGCATGAGGACTTACAGTACGGAGAAGTCCATATTTTTCATTTAGCTATCATTTTATATATTGTATTGGTCATGCTTGGAGCATTCGTCATGTTACAATGTGAAGTCAGCAGTGTTATACTATTTAATAACATATTTACTATAGTCATGGTCAGGGGCGGACTGAAAACTCATGGGGCCCCTGGGCAATAGGGGATCTTGGGGCCCCTGTGTCCTTGCCCAAACTCAAAAATGCCTATGAAAAAGGTACCGGGGCATCTCATGGGGCCCCCTACTGACCCTGTGTCCCTTGGGCAGTGCCCACGTTTCCAAATGGTCAGTCCGCCCCTGGTCCTGGTACATAAACATTTAACTGACTGGAGATTCAAATCAGAAAACATAAACAGAAATGGTGATGTGTATTTACTTAAGGTTGTTGGCCCATTCCCAGGGTGCCCAGTTAGTCCTCATGCACACTGGACGTTTTTTACAGCGGCTGTTTTTGGCTTTTGACGTTCTTTTTCTACATCCAGTAAACTCCCCAGCATGTTATCCTATGTGTCCATGCACAAATAGACTGGACTTTCTGGCTCGTACAAAATGTTGTGATTTATTTCACCTACAGTTACCCATTCTATTATCCTCTCTACACCTTACCCAGTCTCCCCCCTCCCCTCCCCCCCCCACCTTTGGGTTTTTTTTTTTTGCCCTTTTCCCCATACTCCCCCCTACTACCTCACTCTACATTTCCTCCTTTACCTATTCACCTCTCGGACCTCTCTTTATCTCACACCTTTTATACATTTTCATCAATCCTATATCACCAACAGACTATAGCACTTAATCTTCCATACAGGTGTGCCTACTTTCTTGTGGATCACACGCTTCTGAACTGGGAACACAACTCATGACGAACACATCATCCTGTACTATTCTTTCCCAACATTTCCCATTCCTTCAACATAAGGGCATACAAGTAGCTAGGTTAGTAATTCATATACCTATAACGAGTTATCTATTACACTCTATGTATTTGCTGGTCTGCTATATATTATTATTATTATTATTATACAGTATTTATATAGCGCAAAAGGGTATGCTCAGCGCTGTACAGTAGCAAGGGGACAGAACATGAACAAGACAGTAACAATACAATACACGAGGGGTTCGAGGGCCCTGCTCTTTTGAGCTTACATTCTAGGAGGGAGGGGAAGGTGGTACAGGAGGATATGGCTGTGGGGGATGGAGTGGTGGGAGGAGTGGAGGAGGTTAGTTGTTAGGTGGGGTCGGGTGTTAGGTGAGGTTGGGGTAGGCTTCCCCAGAGAGGAGGGTTTTCAGGGTGCGCCTGAAGGTGAGGAGGGTAGGTGACAGTCTGATGGATTGGGGTAGGGAGTTCCAGAGGATGGGGGAAGTCCTGGAGAAGTCCTGCAATCGGGCGTGGGAGGTGGAGACCAGGGAGCTAGAGAGTAGGAGGTCCTGTGAGGGGCGGAGGGCGCGGGTAGGGTAGTATTTGGGTATCAGGTCAGTTATGTAGTTTGGGGCGGCATTGTGAATGGCTTTGTAGGTCAGAGTTAGCAGTTTGAATTTGATGCGTTGGGCAATCGGGAGCCAGTGAATGGACTGGCAGAGGGGGGAGGCAGATGTAGAGCAGGTTGGTGAGATGGATGAGTCTAGCCGCTGAGTTTAGGATCGACTGGAGTGGGGATAGCGTTCGTTTGGGTAGGCCAGTGAGAAGGGGATTGCAATAGTCCAGGCGTGAGATGATGAGGGAGTGTACGAGTTGTTTGGTGGTGTCTGGGGTGAGGAATGTGCGTATCTTGGAGATGTTGCGGAGGTGGAGCCTGCAAGATCTAGATAGCAGTTGGATGTGGGGTAGGAAGGAGAGGTGGGAGTCCAGGGTGACACCCAGGACTTTGGCGTGTGGGGTGGGAGAGATGGTGGCGTTGTTAGTAGTGATGGAGAGGATGGGGGGGGGGGGCGCGGGGGTGGGGGGAAGACCAGGAGCTCGGTTTTGGATAGGTGAAGTTTGAGGAAATGGAGCGACATCCAGTCTGATATGTCGTTTAGGAGGTGGGCGATGCGGGCAGAGAGTGAGGGGATGAGGTGGGGGGTGGAGAGGTAAATTTGGGTGTCGTCGGCATAGAGGTGGTAATTGAAGCCGTGGGAGTGAATAAGTTTGCCAAGGAAGGAGGTATAGATGGAGAAGAGGAGGGGCCCGAGGACAGAGCCTTGGGGGACCCCGACAGAGAGGGGGAGGGAGAGGGAGGTGGGAGGTGGCAGTGTTGTAGGTGACGCTGAAGGAGCGTTGGGAAAGGTAGGAGGAGAACCAGGAGAGAGCAGCATCCTTGATGCCAAGGGAATGCAGTTTGGCAAGGAGGAGAGGGTGGTCAACAGTGTCGAAGGCTGCAGAGAGGTCGAGGAGCAGGAAGATAGAATAGTGGCCATTGGCTTTGGTGGTTAGCAGGTCGTTGGTGATTTTAAGTAGGGCAATTTCGGTGGAGTGCAGGGGACGGAAGCCAGACTGTAGGGGGTCAAGGAGGTTGTTATCAGTGAGGTGGGCGCTTAGGCGATTGTAGGCCAGGTGCTCAAGGAGCTTGGAAGTGAAGGGCAACAAGGAGATGGGTCTAAGGTTGTTCAGGTTAGTGGGGTCAAGGGAGGGTTTTTTGAGTATGGGGGTGATGTGTGTGCAGCTTTAAGGGGGAGGGGAAGGTGCCTGTGGAGAGGGAGAGATTGAAGATGTGGGTGAGGGAGCAAATGATGGAGGGGGGGGGGTGACTGGAGGAGCTGTGAGGGGATAGGGTCCAGGGGGCAGGTGGTGAGGCGGGCTTCAGTGAAGACCTTAGAGACCTCCTAGGGGGTAGTTGGGCTGAAGGAGCGGAGTGTTGGGGAGGTGATGATGTGCAGGGCATTAGGTATAGTGGGGGGTAGTGCGGCTATGAGGTCGGAGGAGGGGACGGTTGAGGGGTTGAAGGAGGGCGGGAGGCTGGATGGAGAGGTGGATTGTGAGTTGTCCTTACGGATTGTGTCAATCTTGTTTTGATACAAAGATATACCTAACCTCGATTCGTATTACAACTTGAACCAACAGCCCATCTGCAAAACGGGATGCTACTTATTGTGTCTATGTTTGGACTGTCATCAGTATTTGCATGTATGTTGATCTGCCTTAATTTTCCTAATAAAATTATTTTTGGTAAAAAAAAAAGTATCCCCAATGAATGCGATCAAAGGCTTTTTCTGCATTCAGTGAAAATAAGATGGGCTTGTCAGCTGCCAAGGCCCCCTACAGGAGGGACGGGGTACCCCCTTATCAGCAACCCTACATACACCAGTCAGCTCTTCTACTCCCTGTCCACTTTCTAGTCAGTAGCCCAAATCTTAATTGATTGATCAATATTCCTGGCACTGACAGAACCCTGGAAATTGACCTCCATATTTTGACCCTTCACAATAGCAGCTTATAATCTAAGGCCACACATTCATACATATACTAGGCCCAATTAACCTCACAGTATGTCTTTTGAGTGTTGGCAGAAACACACCCAAACAGAGAAAACATGCAAACTCCAGACAGGTGCTACCATGACTGAGATTAGAACCCATGACCCAAGTGCTGCAAGCCATGAGTGCTAACCACTAAGCCACCATAACAGACAGAGTTTGAGGTGGAATGTACAATAGTAACATGATTAAAGAGAATGAAGCTATATAATTAGATTGAGAAATTAGAACTAGACATTCAAATTATTTGAGATACAAGTTTGAAAATGTTTGACATTTGAAAATAGGATGTATGACTTTGTAACATTCATTAGCACATGCTTTAGCTGACCAATCATTTTTGGAGAAAAAAAGGCAAGAAAATGAATAGAGGCAACAACAATAGCAGCAAACACAGAAAAAAAAGCCATTAAAACAAGGCACACCTACGAGTTTTTCTCATCTGGCATACAAATAAATGCAAACGAACCAAAGCCCACCTAGGCACCTTATCCAACATTTCTCCTACAATTGCATCTAGTCGGATCAGAGATTTATCAAAGACAATTCAGTCTGCTCGTAAACATTTTTAAGTTGACCACTGAAAGGTCTTAATTGATTTAATTGGGTCTGGCTGAATGTTCAGCGTCTACTGTTGGACGCTATTCTTAGTAAATCAGGGCCATAGAGTCTAGCATAGTGTCTGCCTTTGAAATCTAGAATGCTTTGGAATCCGTAGATGATTTTCCAAACCAGACACTAGATAGGATTCATGCTTAACATAAGAGTTGTATGACATGCTAAGCTTTAGAGCATGGACAGCAGTATTGTGTGTTGAATTGTCAGGTCTGGAGCTTGATATTGCTTCTCCATTCTAGGGTGCTTATGTTGTTTCTCCTCACTCCATGGCACAGGCTAAGCTGGGGTAGAAATGGCAGACTCAGCCTCAGGTATTGCAGAAGCATTGAGATACAAAACAATTCAGCAGAGAAAATCTCAGGCAAAACCCTCCTCAGGGGAAACCCAAACCCCTTCTCTCAAGCCTCCTGTTAGGACTCTGAACTAGGCTATGCCTCAACAGTGACATAATCAGCATGTTTCTGCCTCTCTTTACTAGTAACAGCATTGCTTCCCATTCCACATTTTAACTTTCTCAGTAGACTGTTCTCTGGGTAGACTGCTCAGCCCAGACTTCAGAAATTGCCACATGACTCCTCTGTGGCAGCAAGAGTAGCCAAAAAACCTGGGCTTAGATCATCCACACAGAACTCAAATCTCCCTGGTATCAGAAGGCATTGCTAGTTTAGCCACAAGGAAGCATCATGGCTTTTTAGAAATGTTCAATATCTCAATCTTTCAGTAGCAGAACAGCCCTATGTGATGAAATCAGCTCACATACAGACTTGAGTGGCTCCTCTCCTTACAGACATTTGGGTAGGGTCAGATTCACTTCAAAACTCTTCCCACTGAATACAGGGTAAAGGTGTCTATGCAATTAACACTTCTAATAATGGCCAAAGTGACAACACTTCTGCCTCTCCAATACATTTAAAGTGACAATCTACAAAGCAAAGGAGAAGAATTTCACCAGCGCACTGAGAATCTCCAATATGGGTCCCAATCCTTAATAAGCGTTCACAGAGATCGTACAGGGGTCCTGCGAGGCTTTGAAATTGTTGCTCTTGCTGTAACTATGTGATCGCTTATTAAAGCTTTGGACCCAGGGGCGGACTGACAACTCATGGGGCCCCCCCGGCAATAGGGGATCAAGGGGCCCCTATTTCCTTGCCCAAACTCAAAAAAAGCCTATGAAAAGGGTACTAGGGGCATCTCATGGGGCCCCCTACTGACCCCGGGCCCTCGGGCAGTGCCCGAGTTTCCAAATTGTCAGTAAGCCCCTGTCTGGACCCCTATTGGAGATCCACAATGTGCTTGTGACATTATTCTCCTCTGACTTCTCTTGGTTCCTGCTGATGGTTGCTGCATCACCTGCTTATATACACAGTCATTTCTTAATGCAGGAACATGTGCATTGGGATCATGCATTTTAGTCTACAAAGCAAAACACAATTCAGAGACATGCAGTTGCAATGAAAACGATCTCTGAGACTTCACATTTGGCTTCAAATATGAATTTGGTTTAAGGATTTTTAACTGCAATTAAAATGTTGATCTTCAGCTGGCCAACAACTACATTGCAAATGTTCTTAGCCAACTTACAATGAGACCCCAGGCACGCTTACCTCAGAGATTGATTCTTGTTGCAGGACTGATGGAATATGAGTGGCAATCACTTTAGAGCAGGGGAAAACTGACCATTTGGAAACTCGGGCAATGCCGGAGGGGCTCGGGTCAGTAGGGGGCCCCATGAGATGCCCTGGTACCTTTTTCATAGGCTTTTTTTGAGTTTGGGCAAGGACACAGGGGCCCCATGATTCCCTATTGCCTGGGGACCCCATGAGTTGTCAGTCCGCCCCTGCTTTAGAGTTAAACTTCAATACGTTTATTGCACCAGAGAAGCGATTCCCAACCCCAGTCCTTGAATACCCCCCAACACAGGGGCGGACTGACCATTTGGAAACTCGGGCACTGCCCCAACAGGTTATGTTTTCAGGATTTCCTTAACCCTGTATAGGTGCTCTAAATCACTTGGTATTTGTGACATATATGTTATCTAAACAAGCTAGCAAGATAGCATGGAAGTTTTCTATGTTTACCTTCCACTCAACCAGTCACACACCACCTCTCGTATAGGAGACAGCTGCAGTTTGCTTCAACTGGAACCAACATAGAGCATCCTCTGCTGCCAGCATCCTTTAAGGTGTCCTGCCAGGGGGCGAGATTCTTGCACAGCTCTGGGAGAAACACCTGGGAGAAAGATAACTGTCATTGTAGCATCCTCTCCAGCAGAAGTCCAGGAGAGAGGGACCATTTGCTAGGATGTACCTTAATTAACACCTTTCAAGACAGGTCACCAAGCCTTCCAATCCTCCTGATTAGCTAAGTCACTAAATACCCATGACACAGAATGGCACTTCTGTAGAACACCCTGCTGGAGCAAGCTCAAATGGAGAAAGTACTGAGAAAGTACAGCCCATGCTTAGAGAATACAAATAGGCTCTCTCCAACAGGCTGATCTGCAGCTCTCTCTTTCCTACATTATCACAAAAAGGCAAAAAGCAATTTAGAAAAATTATACATCTGTACAATGGTAGGACTGCAAAAAAATATAAACTGATTTTATTCTTTAAGTTTTCCTACAATTTTCTGCAAGATACTTAATATCTTTTCTCTGAGAGCTTTGGTTCTTATCCCGTAAATAGGAGGATTTACAGAAGTAGCTATGCTGGTACCGATCAAAGGTATGATAACATCAACTGTCGTTGATACAGAACCCCAGTTTACTCTGTACCTCATATTAAGAAACAAGAAGGTGAAAACATAAATAGAGAAGGCCAATACATGAGTCATCAATGTATGCATGGCTTTTTGAGAGGGTTCTGCAGAAAGTTTCAGACAGATGACAACTGTTCTTACAGTTGTGACCAAAATTATTCAACCCCCACTGAAATTGAGTGTTTTGGCCAGTTTGACATTGCTTTTGATCATTCAGTCATCTTGCTTACATTTACATTAAAGAGGCACTTGTAGGTCAGACAAATATAACATAACAGTTATAATGAAATAACCACAAGTGTCTTTTCTGTGCTCACAGCATTATCAGTTTTATTCAACCCCCAAGTGACATTCAATCTTAGTACTTAGTACAGCATCCTTTTACAGTTATAACAGCTTTTTTAAACGTGAAGCATAGCTTGACACAAGTGTCTTGCAGCGATCTACGGGTATCTTCGCCCATTCTTCATGGGCAAAGGCCTCCAGTTCAGTCACATTCTTAGGCTTGCGCACTGCAACTGCTTTCTTTAAGTCCCACCAGAGGTTCTCAATCGGATTTAAGTCTGGTGACTGCGATGGCCACTCCAAAATGTTCCAGCCTTTCCTCTGCAACCATGCTCTAGTGGACTTGGAGGTATGCTTGGGATCATTGTCCTGTTGAAAGGTCCAACGTCTCCCAAGCCTCAGGTGTGTGACGGACTGCATCACGTTTCCATCCAATATCTCCTGGTACTGAAGAGAATTCATGGTACCTTGCACACGCTGAAGCTTCCCTGTACCTGCAGAAGCAAAACAGCCCCAAAGCATGATTGACCCTCCACCATGCTTCACAGTAGGCAAGGTGTTCTTTTCATCATAGGCCTTGTTCTTCCTCCTCCAAACATAGCGTTGATCCATGGGCCCAAACAGTTCTAATTTTGTTTCATCAGTCCACAGAACACTATCCCACAACTTTTGTGGTTTGTCCACATGGCTTTTGGCATACTGCAGTCGACTCTTCTTATTCTTTGGAGACAGCAAGGGGGTACGCCTGGGAGTTCTGGCACGGAGGCCTTCATTACGCAGTGTGCGTCTTATTGTCTGGGCTGAAACTTCTGTACCCACATCTGACAAATCTTTTCTCAGTTCCTCAGCAGTCACACGGGGACTTCTCTCCACTCTACGCTTCAGGTAGCGCACAGCAGTCGAAGTCAGCATCTTCTTTCTGCCACGACCAGGTAGCGTTTCAACAGTGCCCTTTGCCTTGAATTTGCGAATGATGCTTCCTAAGGTGTCTCTTGGTATGTTTAACATCTTTGCAATCTTCTTATAGCCATTGCCCTTCCTGTGAAGAGAAATCACCTCTTCTCTTGTCTTCCTGGACCATTCTCTTGCCTTCACCATGTTTGTAACCACACCAGTAAATGTCTAGAAGGAGCTGAGTATCACAGTCATTTTAAAGCTGCCTAATTGGTGCTTATTATGCTTGATTGCTGCTCTCGGTGACATCCACAGGTGTTTTCAATACCTGATGGAAAGCACCTGTATGAACCTCTGTTCTTCAGAGTGGTAGTCTTTAAGGGGTTGAATAATTGTGGCAATGAAGAAAGAAACCACATAAGAACCATTTACTACTGTATTACATATAAACAATTGATGTCATTTTAGTTGCATTTGGGTAGTTACAACGTCCTTGTAGGATTTGATTCTGAATACAATTCCAAATGTACACTATAGTCCCTAAACCCCTTTACAGCATTGGGGGTTGAATAATTTTGGTCACAACTGTATGTAACAGAACATTACTACAAGCACACAGCCAATCACAGTTGACAAGGTTAAAGTTGTTCCATAGAAGAAGTTAAACTGTTGTATCGTTACACGCAAGCCGTTGTAGAGACATGATCTCACACAAAAGACATTGTTGATATTTGCCTCACAAAAAGTTAGTCTTGATGTCAAGAGTATACCTACAATTACTCTGATCACATTGAAAACATATATGGCAAGTGTTATTTTTTGAGCTGTAACATTGGTCATCAGACTGTTGTATCTCAGAGGGTGGCCTACAGCCAGATATCGATCATATGCCATTTGCCGTAAAAGTAAACATCTCAACCCACGCAAAAGTCTGGATGCAAAAAGATTGACAGAGACATCCTGTAAGTGAGATGTTTGAGCATCCAGACAACAAGTCAATGGCCAGCTTGGGGAAATATGCTGAGTTCCCAAATATCACATTCATAACCAAGATGCAAATAAAGATGTACATAGGTTCATGCAAGCTTTTCTCTGTCCAGGTTACATAGACAATCATAGAACTCATAAACAATGTGACTGTAAATAATGCAAGAGCCAAAACTGCACATACATATCGAAATGATTCAAGTTCAATAAGTCCCATCAGAACAAAGTTGGTAATAGTTACAGAGACATTCTTGGGAGATGAACTCATGGCTTGGATTTATTTCTTCCAACATCAACAAATCCTAAATTGTTCTTTTTCAATCTGAATACTGTAAATTGAAACATGTCATTCATAGAGCCCCTCTGCATGTTATTGTGACTCTCGTATTGCCTTTCTCCTGAATTCAGTTGGGCTTTTATAGGTTTCATAAACCTCTCTCACCTCACTCACAGTGTAGATTTAAAAACTTTGCAGTCACTGCATCCAAGTCTTCCCAGGGGAACACAGCTGATAAAGCTGCCTCTGATGGACTAATTAGTGTCAAAAATGTAATGAAGTAGTGCAGGTAAATTTAACAAGCTTTCCCGATGAGAAAACAAATATGAAATGTAAAATATTAACAAAAGCAAAGAGAAAATTTTAATTAAAATGTGAACTGATGTTAGTTTTGCTTTCTCAAAGTGTAAAATACATCTCTTCTCTTTTGTTGGTTTCATGGTATTGATGACTCAATCACGTACAATCATGTAAACCCTGGACAAGGTGAACACCTACCAGTTCACCCTAGAAGTATTATTAATACTAATGATACAATGGCTCCCGCTGCTATCTCAGCCAATGAGGAGAGGGAGTCCTGGCATAGACTCTAGTGCACATCGCTGGATCGAGGGGGGGGCTTTGTTGAGTATTAAGGGGGCTGGGAGGACTGCTGCACACAGAAGATTTTTTAACTTCATGCATTCTATAAAAAACCTTGAGCCTTTACAACCACTTTAAAGTGTAATTTTTTGGAGGGGGCTAACAGTTTGTTTTCAAACGGCTTTTCTTTTCGAGAAGGGGCAGTGGGACCTTCATATGCTGAGCGGTACTGTAATTAAATATATATACTGTATATATATATATATATATATACACTTTTTTTCACTATAGCTGAGCATATAAAGGTCCGTTTTTGGAACAGCCCACTGTCTGTAGAAAAAATGATTGAAAAAAAATAAATAAATAATAATGACAATTGGGAAATCCAGCCCTGCCTAAAAGAATGTGGTTTTAGGAGATACTGCACTATAGTGGTCCCTTCTGTTTTTTTACCCTCTATACTGAGCACATATATTCAGGAGCAGT